AAGCAGAATTGTACAAAGTATACAAAGTATACCAAAAATATGGAACAGAATCACAAAGTGTACAAAGTATACAAAAAATATGGAACAGAATCACAAAGTGTACAAAGGATGAAATATTCCAACTTACATATTGGCATGTCTTGAAAGATGCACCATCTCGCGATGGGTATTTTTTTACAATAGATTTCATGACCTTCAAATATTTGGGTTCCATTTTGTCATTCACAACCTTGGCCTAGGTACAATCAAAGACAAAAAAAAAAAAACTGGCATTAATATGGCTAATAGATACTAAATGACATACAACAACATGGGAAAATTCACTCACCGCAAAGTCAGTTGGAAAAGACCATCTACCAATAAATCCATTCTCACAAGAAGAACAACGGTTGAAATTCTCAATATAGCAATCAATAAATTTTATTGATAGAACAATCTTGTCACTTGTCATTTGAGTATCCTTCCTTGACAAGCGATACTCACCTTCACCCATGTCGAAAAGAATTTCATTCCTAAAAATGTATACAAACAGTTTATATTAAATTCAGTAACCGAAGAAGAAAAGTACAAACTGATATATAAATGTATACAAACAGTATGAAATGAAACTTACATAGGAAATCTGTCACTCCAAGCATATTGAATAAGTTTTTCTTCATACAATAGTTGGCTACTAGTCCGAAGTAGAGCTACCTTCTCTACCTTCTTGGAGGTAGGTTTTTTCCTTTTTTGCCGAATAGGAATAGGTGCTTTCATGGAAGGAGGTTTACTATTTTTATTACCATAGTATATGGTGTCCTCTTTAAATTGGATGGCTTGAACTCCCTTTTCGAGCGTCTTTGATTAACGAAATCAACATTCGACCTAGAATCTAACAAAATAGAGACAACACAAACAAAACAGACAAACATTACAAACATCAGCAGAAAAAGTAACTAAGTGTACAAATAGATTAAAATTGCAGTAAACGAGACTAAAGGACAACACCAACTACGAACATAACGATTACCTTCGACGCCATTCTTGTTGTCATCTTCACCATTTGACTCATCTTCTTCAGTGTTATCACTAGAAATATCATCACAATCATCTTCAATCCCAACCCCATCGTTATCATCACCATTTGACTCGTCTTCTCACAACCAAAACAACAAAGATGAAACAATATAGCACATTACAAAAGACATAAAGACAGAGAACTAGATAATTAATAAACCATAAGATCTAGTTTGCAATCCACAAGTAGTGTGCACACACAACATGTGTTCAAAATAGTACGACAAAGATTACAAACCATACAAACCAATCATAAAGTGCATATTTAAAAGATGTTATACAAATTTAAAAGACCACCATCAGTAACTAAGAAAGCTTTTCACCCCACTGACCATCAGCACCTACCTCCACAGATTGTGCAATCTGTAAAAAAACTTTCATAATATCCTTAAGTGGCAGCTCCTCGGAAACTGCGGTTGGCGCGACTCCATCCTCTGCTGGCTGCTTCTGAAGTGCAAGATCAAAGGCCACAATCTCCATTGTTGGCTGCTGCGGAAGTGTTGGAGCAGGAGTATCTCCAGCCTTCTCCACTCCTGGCTGCTGCCACACAAGTACTGGAGTCTTCTGGAGCTCAGCTGGTTGTTGCGGAAATGCGGGAGCAGGAGTAACTCCAGCCTTCTCCACTGCTGGCGCTGCCGCACAAGTGCTGGAGTCTTCTGGAGCTCAGCTGGCTGCTGTGGAAGTGCTGGAGCACGAGCACTTCCAGTCTTCTCCACTGCTGGCTGCTGGCGCCCAAGTGCAGCAGTCTTCTGGAGCTCAGCTGGCTGCTGCGGAAGTGCTGGAGCACGAGCACTTCCAATCTTCTCCACTGCTGGCTGCTGCCGCACAAGAGCTGGCTTCTTCAAAATTAACTAGAGTTACATCATCATCAGTTTCCTCCTCGCTCCTATCTCCATCATCGCTCTCATCATCATCATCACCACTCCGATTACCATCATCACTACCACTCCCACTTCCATTCCCACTCCCACTCCCACTCTGATAACCGCCTTCACTCTCACTCTCTTCATTATCAGTAGTTGTAGCTTTCTCAACAACTTCAGCACCTTCAGAATCATTTGTTGTAACTTTCTCAACAAGTTCAACACCTTCAGAATCAGCGTGCACCTCGATATCAGCTAGGTATAGGTGACACTGATTTATCTGTCTTCGGTACATCTTACCTTGCTGTTCCAACTCAGATAATGCACTTTGTAACCTTTTCCTAATCAACTTAACCTACAACAAAACAAATAATAGAAAACACAAACATAAGTTAGAGAATGTACACAAATAATACAGACAGTACAAAGTAATAGACCAAAACAGTACAAAGTAATATAAAAAATAAATAAAGTATACAAACTCTACAAAACTTGACACCAAAAAGATACAAAGTATAAAGACAGTACAAAGGATGAGACCAAAACATACAAAGTGTACAAACAGTGCAAACACTACAAAGTATACAAACAGTACAAAGGATGAGACCAAAACATACAAAGTGTACAAACAGTGCAAGCAGAACAAAGTATACATACAATAAAAACAAGCCATACTAAGAATAATAGGAAATAGTATAAACAATACAGCAACACATCATAAATCTTATAAATTGTGAAAACAATACTATAAAGCATATGAACAATATGTACAAAGTAACCAAAGAACACATACAAAACCATACAAACTCAACTCTTGAACAGTCGTCCCATCCAGATTCAAATCGAAATCTGGAAATTCATCTCCAATACCAACACCCTTCTCACCTCCAGCAACCTCAAAACCACTAAGACTTTGAGCCATCTTCGGACGAGTAGTAGAAGAAATGGGTGCATCCCTTAGAACAAAAACTTTACCAAAATCCTTCCCAAAATTCTTCTCCATTGCTGCCTTCATTTGCTTCAAATGTTTCGAACTCCACAAATGACAGGTTGGCACCAAATTACTAACACAACGGCTGGCCTCTTCCTCATTCACAGTTGTCCTATCGAGAAAACAAATAAGCAAGAAGTGCATATCTCCCTCAACCCAACTGTTATGCTGACTTGATGTCACCTTATCACAAATGAGACCATACACATAATTGCACCAAACATAGTCACATAAATACTTCACCATTTCTTGAGAAAGAAAAGTCAAGTATTATGTTGTCACCGTCCTAGATGAAACAGATTCGAAAAGGCGGCAAAAAATCATCAACACATACATATTCACCCACCTAGAATCAGACTTCTCTGCTCCCATACAAGTCCTCAAATTGTCAAAAGCAACAGTCCCCTTTCCAGTTTTACTGAAACCATAATTTTTACAAGGTTAGAATTCACCTTTGATGTTTTCTGCAAAGAAACAAAATTTGGTCCCCTTGGAAGGCCATAAACTCCGTAAACATCCTCTTCTGTAATGCAAATCTTCTTTCCATCATCCAAGTTGATACACTTATTCTTCCCATCCCACCTTGAAATAATGAACTTAATAAGTTCATTTTCCAAATGCTTCATCTTCATCAAAAACAAAAAATCCAAACCCAGCTGCTTAATTAATTGTACCCTGCCATGAGATAAAGGAGGCAGAACATGACTAAGAATCTCTTTCGGGCTGCATCGATAGTTCAAAGCAGCTTCATTTCCTCCCCCCTGAGCTCGCTTCTGCCTTTTTCCACGAGGTGCTGCCTTCGGCTTCTCTCCAGCAACAAATTTGTAGACGAAACTCCGAATTTGTAGATTTGGAAAGGAGACGGAGAATAGAAAATGGCCTCTCTCCCGTGAAAAATGGTGAAAACGGACGAAAAGTGATTTGCGATTCTCTCTCCTCTCAACGAACAGGTTTTATATTAAAATAAAATAACAAATTCTTTTTTAAATAAAAGCTAAATGACCATAACGCCCCCATCCCTACTGCTAGACTATTGCACCGTTAGATCTAAAATTCAATCAACGGTTGAGAGAGGCTTAGTCTGATGACTAAGCCCTCCCTCCCCCCTCCCTCTCTGTCACCAGATCTTGGCCCTAGATTTGAGCCCGTCATTGGCCTGATGAATTATATCAATGATATAAACAATAATGGTAAATGTCCGAACCTAGTTACATTTTCATTTGCTATCAAGAAACTACTCATGCAGGGAAGGATTCCTACAAAATTAATAGGGTTAATATTTTCGTATGGCCTGAACTTTGACCAAAATAAACATCCTGGCCAATCTTTTCGATCTATAACATCCTAGCCCGAACTATACACCAAAATAAACAATTTGGCCAGATTCGACTTTTGACCGTTAACTTGGACGGTCAAATGCGTTGACCGTTAGTCAACGCGCCATGTCACTGCCAAGTCAGCATAAAATATTTAAAATAATTCACAATTTCCACACATTCCCTAATTTTAAATTATTATAAATTAAAAAAATCATCTAATACCTTAGTTAAATAAAAAATAAAAAACGAAAAAATTAAATATTTATCATATCTTCTGACTTGGCAGTGACATGGCACGTTGACCCTCCAAGTTAACGGTCAAACATCGGGTTTGGCCAAATTGTTTATTTTGGTGTATAGTTCGGGCCAGGATGTTGTAGATCGAAAAGATTGGTCAGGATGTTTATTTTGGTCAAAGTTCAGGCCATACGAAAATATTAACCCAAATTAATATTCAAAATGCACTCATCGCTATTAAAAATTACCGCAAATTTCATTTTGGATTTCTTTGCAGCAAAGCATCTTCTCCACATAGCTTTCTCTTCATTAAAGAAACCTTTATATAGGTCGTAAATAGCTCTTCCATTCTTCTCCTGCATTTCATTGAAAACCAAATTTTAACGGTAAAAGGTTTGAAACCCATTTTGGAGAACTTAAATTGACGTAGTGCATGTCATAAAATTTGTCTGGTATTGCTCTTCTTCACCCTTCATTATCTTAAAAATATGGCAAAATACACTTCCATAGCCATAACTTTACAGTTTGTGACAAATATAGCCAAGTTTTGAAAAATACACAGAAATAGCCACAAATTTGAAACTACCTTGACAATCATAGACATTTATGTTAAAAATATTGACGGTGTTAGAGATGCCGTTAACGTCTGTCAACAACAAGCTGAGATGGCGCCTCGTCAGCTTCCGCGTCAACTCTTAATCGACCTGTCATGCCATGTCAAACTAAAAATATTATTTATTGCAATTTTTTTTTGAAAATAATTAATATTTTCCCGAATTGGGATTCTTCCTGCAACCCACCGCCGACTCTTCCTTCTCTGATGCGTCGTCGAACCCCTTCATCGTCATTGTTCATCGGCAACCCAGATTGTGGATTCCAAATCTCAATCCATAACCAAGATTGTAGACGAGGCAACAACGTCAGCCGTCGAACCCATTCCCATTCCCATTTCCCTCTCTTTAATTTCTGGGAACCCAAAACAAGAATCATTCAGTCCCTCTTCTTCTTTTCCCCAGTTCCTCTCGCCACCTTTGTTGTTGTCCACCATTGAAGAAGAACAACCAAGAGCTCAATCGACGACAAAACCCATTGATTCCACAAAATCAAAAGCGACCCATTTCATCAATCGATTCTTTGGAGTTCGCAACCCAGAAACCCCAAAATAAGATCTGGTATGGGTGAAGAGATCCGGTATAGATCCATCTCTCTGCTTCTCCACCGTCTCTCTCCCGCTCTGTAGATCTGCCAGGAATTTGTTGCCACCGCCATGGCGATCGAGGTGGCGACTGTGCTCCAGTAGTTTCCACCGGCAGCAGCTTCCACCTAGCAGAGATCGGAGGCCGCTTCCCACCAAACTTGGTACGAAGACGGTGAAGAAGGGCCGGGCAAGAACAACGACGACGTGGGCGCTAAAAAAATTAGGGTTCATAGATTGGGGATTTCAAAATCCACCACCGGAAATCCTTTCGAAAGTCGCCCGTCGTCGTTTGTTGGCATCGTCTCCTTCCTATTCTCGCCAACTGTGAAATGATGTTCATCGTCTGGCTTGTGCTGAGAATCAGAACTTCTCGCATACTGGGTTGTGTTCGTTACTTTCAACAATGGTGGTAGGAGATCGTAGGGAATTATGGGTTTTATTGACAAGGAAATGGAGAATGGAAGGGCTTTGCGGTTTTGAGACAGAGGGATAGACGGTTGTGAGCTCCGTCGCAACTGCAAAACCAAAGCAATCCTCTCATCGGAGGTAGAAAAAGGTCGATTCCTGGTTTAGATCTAGGAGGCAGTAAGGGGATTAAGAAAAATGGGAAGGGCAGATAGAGAATATGAAAGAACATAATCATTTGGTAAAGTAGGGTATTTTTATTAATAAATATAATTAAATTTATTTTCCACTCTGGCATGCCATGTAGACCAAATTAATTGCATCGTTTGTCCAGTCAGAAGTCATTATAGTTCCGTTACATTAATGGACGGAATGGTTATTTCTGTGTATATTTTGAAACTTGGCTATATTTGTAACAAAGTGTAAAGTTATGGCTACAAAAGTGTATTTTTCCTAAAAATATATAACATCAATATTCAAATGTTCAAATTAGAATTCCAAAAATACAATTAGACGAAAATAAAAATCGAAAAAGATGTTCATTTCGTAAACCAAAGGAAACAACGATGTTGTATAACCTCTAATATGATAATCATACAGTTGGTTGACCCACATATATTTGTGACCTTTTTATTTTACCGGGTCAACCGGCCCGTCGACAATTTTTTTTACGGGGCCAGTCTACGGGTGGACAACTTGACAAAGCTCGAACTCAGGCAATCATGTTCATGTACCTGACCTAGGGCTGCAAACGAGCCGAGTCGAGTTTTTGCTTAGCTTGAGCTCGGCTCGTTTATAAATATTTCAGCTCGAACTCGGCTCGAACTCGAATTTTGATAATCCAGCTCGAGCTCGACTTGGTAGAGCTCGATAAATGCTCATTAACACAGCTTGTCGAGCTAAGTACAAGCTTAGCTCACGATGAACTCGATTTGAAATCATTCTTGCTGAAAAATATGTACAAATAATAATTTAAATGATAAAAAGAGCACTATAAACTAAAAAGAACAACTAACTTTCATACATATATGGATTAACAAGATAAAGTTCATGTTCATAAGAATAATTAATCCTTCTACAAGCTCTAAACAAGCCAGCTCGCGAGTTTAGCTCAACAAGCCACCGAGTCAAGCTAGCCCACGAGCTTATCAAACTTAGCATGGTCTAGCTCAAGCTTGGCTCGTTTACTAACGAGTCGGCTCGCGAGCCAACTTGTGAAATAACGAGCTGAGTGTCGAACGAGTTTTTTTCGATTCGAACGCCGAGTTGCTCGCGAGCGGTTTGGCTCATTTACAGTCCTAAGTCCTGACGTAAGTATAATTTTCCAAGGCAAATTAAATGTGAGGTAGAAGGACACATATAACCTTTCTTGGAATGCGCAGAGAGCTCCCTTTTCTAATCTAACCCCATCCCTCCTGGAATGTATATAAGTGTTTAGAGATGATTGACAAGCAGTGATTTTATTATTGATGATTTAGTTATTTACATTGTACTTTTACGTTATAATTTGTTATTATTCTCGATCGCCCAACACTAAATCCTTACTCTTCTCCTGCTTGGAGCTGATGAAAAGAAGAAACTCGGAGACTCTGGTATCCATCAATCCCCAAATCTTCAACGACATGCCATTGCCAATCCTTAGTCTCAGTCCACCAACTAGAAACTCTTGTACATCTATCTACACAATAAATAAAAGCCAAATGATAAAACTTGAAGCCCCATTTCAAATTTCCTGCATCCAGAGTGAAAGTAGTAATGACATTTTGGTCTTCACAATTACTTTTTTTAATTCATTAAAAATACACTTACTAGGATTCGAAGCATGACGACTTTAAAGAAAAGCAAAGACCATAACCAATCACACTAAATACATTTGTTATATCTTTTTAAATTAAAAACATATAATCGCAGAGAGGAAAAAACTCTTCCCTCATTTCAAATTCCCTTCTCCATGAGCGTTTGTAGGAAGGGTAGAATAGGGAATGTCAATTTTTTTCTTTTTCCTATGTGGAACGAGCCAACTTACCATACACATGCGGATTTAAACGGGTCCAGGAGTGTCAATTTTTTTCTTTAAGTCCTTTTATTTCTCCATGGTGGTAAAATATATATGAAAAGGCAAAAACAATAATGCTTTTTATTGCTAAAAAGAAAAAAAATTTAACAATAAACTAATGCATGGATTCTAATGGGCTAACCGTTAATCATAAAATAAAAGATTTGAATCTGCCTGACCTACACGGGATTTGCCCATCAAGTAAAACAAATGAACATCATGGGTTTGTCATTCTAAAACAAGTTATTTTCTCTAGCATAATATATATTATGCTATTATTTTATATCTTAGTGGCTAAAATATAATGTATTTTAAAGTTATTCAATGGTTCAACCTCGACCAACCCAATTAGTCCAATTTTTATCATTTCAAATATATATTATGTAATTATTTGATATCATAATGATTAAATTATAGTGTATATTATAGGGAATCGTTTGGTATTTGTTAGTAAAAAACTATACAAAAAGATCTATTTGGTTATTTTTAACATTAAAACGATCCTAAACAATTTCAGATTTCTTTCGAAATTCTATAGTTTTATTCCCGAATCGGTGATGTGCAAGTGGCGAATTGCAGTCATCTTTTTTCTTTCATTATTTTTTATTTTCAAATAGAAAGTTTAAAAGTAAAGAATAATTAGAGTTTGGCATGGGTCGGTCAAACAGGCTGAATTTCAAGTTTTGGACCGTTTTGATCAAGTCTAATTTATAATCACATGGTTCCCGGATACCCGATAAAAATCTCAATCCAGACTAGTTTGGCAGGTGAGTCCGTGTTCACCACCATTTTCTAGGGATACAGGAACGGTGGTTACTATCCCAAATCGTGTTGTTCATTCTTGATTTCTTTAGATTTTATCATGGCTTGGCAAAAAACCAGAAAGCACAATGATGACAAGATGAAAGTTTTATAAAGCAAATTAATCGTCCAATGGGCCGAGTAAAAACTAGCAACGATTGTGAGATGCTCATTTCCCGAAAACCGGGGGGATAGGGGATTTTTTATTCAATTTTCAAGAATTCGGTTTGTATAAAACTGACTCCACCTCATCATATTACCAGAAAAAATATTGTTTCACAAGGTAACAGGTACTTGATTTTTGTTCATAAGGCTGATTTTTGATTCGTTGCATCATTCATGTCTCTTTCCTACTAAAATTCACTATTTTTATCACGTATTTTCCAAAAATAAACTATACAACAATAAGCTATACACCCCATTACATTATCAAATTTTATACATCACCTTCCTCCGGCCAAATGGCCGGGGCCCACGCTAGTTCATTAGAATGCCCAAATATACATGGGTCTTCATACGGGAACCCGTGCATGATGTTCTCAAATACACATAATTGTTCATATAATGTTATTTAATAATAATTATTATATTTGAGCTCGAGCTTAGGTATCATATCATTTAGTTCATAAATTTAGTTTTTCATATCATGTTATTTAATAGTAATTAGTATATTTGAGCAATTCCTGTAAATGAGATATATTGGATCACATGATCGAATTATTAAACATAAAATGTGGTGATATATATTCTAACAAATGTATGAATTATCAATAAGCGAATGATAAGTTATTAATAATTCATTCGCTCATAATTAATTGTTGCTGGGGTGGTTCTCTAGCCATATTGTCGAGTTATCTTATAGTTCGAAATGAGCTAGCTCATGAATTGACCTTAACAAGCAATCAAGTCAAACTGACTCATAGGGCCGACTCATGATATTCGAAGGCTCTATTTGAAAATTTAAAATGTGGCCCTAAAATATTTTCTTTGCAAAATTATTAAAAAAATATTAAATAATAAAAATACATAAGTTCAGAAAATGATTAAAAAAGAATAATATCACCTATAATTGTTTAAAATGTAACAATTGTCTAGCATCATCGTTTAAAATTTATTAAATAGTAACAAATTTTTTTTACATTAATGGAGGCAAAGCCAAGAAAGGGAGAGGAAGCAGGGGGTTACATGGAGGGTGATGAGCGAAGCGCTATGCGTCGCTCACAAGTAGTGCCTAACATATCATCCCGAAGAACCGTAGCTAGTTCGATTGGAGGATCAACAAATTCATGCATACCGAAGGGATAGACGAGACTGTGCTTCGAGAGCCAGTCCGCGGCTCTATTCCCTTCGCGATATGTATGAGAGATGCTGATCAGCCAGTCGCGACCTAGCTTCCTGCGAATGACCGAGAGAAGAGTAGCGTAAGGATGAATGGGATCTGCTCTGCTCTGTATAAGCTATATGGCCAACTGCGAGTCCGTCTGCACCTTGACTGCTCTATAACCCAAATTCCAGGCTAGATCCAAACCGTGATTGATGGCCCAAACTCTGCCAAGGCAGCAGTAGCGGATCCGATATTGGCCACGAACCCACCACACCATCTACCGGTCGAGTTTCTAA